AGCAAAGAAATCAATCTATGTCAAAATCATCATTCTATATTTTAACTAAAAAAAAATCTTTTATCAAACATAAATATACACAATTAACTTATTTATTGAAAGTTAATTCTTCTTTGAAATGAGCATTATTTCAGATTACATAAGATACTTATCGTTGAAATGCACTCAATATTTGTCAAAATTCACGAGAATATCGCAAACAAGCAAATTCAACTCACAAAATACATGGTTCAATTGCGGCTAGTTCACAAAAATTTTACTATCAAAAACTATTAAGAATGTCTATGGAAATTTTATCAAAAGCTTTAGTAGAATGTTAAATTGATTAGCTTTAGGCAAAAAACTTAATGAACATAACAAGTTGTAATTAAGTGAAAAGCTAAAAGGTGGATGGGGAACACCAGAGTCAAGCTAAAATGAATCCAACCATTTCTACTTATAGAGAATGAGTTAAAACTTCAAAACACTCACCCATTCCCAACTACTTCACGATTCTCAGTCTCGATCTATTCCCATAGCCAATACATTAGACCTCACAAAATTTGGTATTCTATTTTTAGATGCCAAATTTTCCAAAAATAAAAACTCAAAATTGCCCAAATAAAGTGGTTGTATTTATTTATGAGTTTATGACTTACGTGGCTATCCGCTATTCAATAGTCACAATAACTAATGGCGGGTATTCAATGATTGCCTTTGTGACCATAATAGTGCGGGTGACGTAGAAGATTTGTTTACTTTCAACCACCAACCTGTCATTTTTGAGTATCATGAGACGCAAGACCTTTCTTTTAGTAGAAGCATACAATCAAATTCGGCTTTAGTTCCATTCAACGTGTGTCAAATGGAACCATTACATCAGTCCAATGCATATTCAATCTGTCATTGTTGAGTATCATGAGTCACGAAATCCCCTTTTGGAAGAAGCATAAAATCAAATTCAACCTCAGTTCCATTCAACGTGCACCAAATGTAACATTATAACAGTTCAATGCCTATTCAATCTGTCATTTTTGGATATCATGAGTCACGAGATCACCTTTGGAAGAAACATAAAATCAAATTCGGCCTTAGCTCCGTTCAATGTGCACCAAATGGAACCATTATAACAGTTCAATGCATATTCAATCCGTCATTTTTGAATACCATGAGTCGCGTGACCCCCTTTTGGAAGAAGCATAAAATTGAACTCGGCATCAGTTCCGTTCAATGTGTGCCAAATGGAACCATTATAACAGTTCAATGCTTATTCAATTTGTCAATTTTGGGTATCATGAGTCGCAAGACTCTCTTTTGGAAAAAGCATAAAATCAAATTAGGCCTCAATTTCGTTCAACGTGCATCAAATGTAACCATTACAACAGTCCAATGCCTATTCAATTTGTCATTTTTAAGTATCATGAGTCGCGAGACCTATTTTCAGGAGAAACATAATATCAAATTTGGCCCATGTCTCGTTCAACGTGCGCCAAATGAAATCATTACGACAGTCCAATGCTTAAGCTGCGTGCACATCGGACTTGAGAAGTGCGATAGCCCTTCCGTCAAAAGTCAACTCACAAAGAATGTGCAATTCTTCCATTTTACTTTTTGCCCTTAATGTTACAAAAGCCATATGCAATCTCAACACACTGATGAATGGACGAAGTACCAAACTCTTTCTCCTGCAAACAAAGTGATGTATTTCAACAAGAAGGAGACGACGAGGATGAACACGTTTCTCGACAAGTACCGTGACAACCTCACGTTTTCTTTATCGCAACGAACCATTGCCAACGATATTGTTGGGAATCTATTTTTCAATCACATGGAAGACAAGAAAGATGACCATTCGGAACCGATAATCAAAGCAAGTGCCACAAAACTGTTCAAGTTACAGGAAGACGTATCGTATCTTGTCATCATCAAGAACTCGCTATATTTCAATCTCGCAATTGAATTTGTGTGAGGTGAATTGTCGTTTCGCCAAACTGCAGCTGTTATCATCCAGCATCAAAATATGTGCAAGAATTCAAAACTTGCGGATCTCAACGATCACATGGTGAAATAGTTTGTTCGAGTGCTCCTCGCCGTTCTTGTCGCCATGGCAGTCGATATCTATCATTATGAATCAAAAACATGTATGGGCATTTTCACTGGTTGCTGACATCAGCTCGGATATGAGAGTCTCTCTACTCGATAAGCGTATTCGAATCTGCATTGAAGGGGTGCTCTACAACCTCCATATGGTTCTGGTTTTATTCTTTGAACGACATCTAGCCGTCAACTAGATGAAATTCATCAAAATTATACTCGATACTCTCTATGCAGATTGGTGCTCCAAATTGATTTCGATCAACTCTAACGGGAAGAACACGATGATCGTTCGATACTGAGGAGTTTTCACCTTGCTCGAGAAAGAATGGAACAACCATGTGCTCCGGATTTAGTGCGTTCCACATCAATTAGACATTGTTGTCAAGAACGTCACACAATATGTTTTAGATAAGACGTTCTACAAAATAGGTCATGTCTATTCTGTTCATCTTCAAAAGCAGCAAAATTTGATCATAGACGTGGGATCCAAATGCCCGAAAGAAACAATGTGTTGGGTTGTTTTTGGTAGCATTCTACATTGGCTTCTTCATAATTATCATCAATTGATTATCCACAATGCCGCAAAATGCCCCATTCACGCGTCGTCGAGAATGTGATGCGTTATTGTAGCTGCTATTTCACCATTGTTTGACAAGATTGCAATCACGTTCACCAAAATCCAAGCCCGCAACATTGTGATCTCACAGCAGCGACAAGAAATGTCAAAACTGGTTGTTGATATTGCCGCAGGTTTGGACATACGTCCTGCCATCGATGAGATGTTGGAAGTGATTGATCCCTTCATCATCATCATGCAAAGCAATTGTTTCATTTTGAAAGATTTTTTCGTCATGCACATTCAAGATCAGAGATCTTGGGTTTGTGACTTGTACAATGATCTCTCTCACATTGATAAACTAACAACGTTGAAGCAATCATCATCTTTAGCATTTTTATTGTTGCTAATGTATGGCAGGTATAAGCCGAGCGAGATTTGAACAACAACGCCTGAGAGTTGGAAGCCGCTCCTACTATGCCCACGAATCTTGTCAATATCTGCCACTCCGCATTCATCCAAGATGTGTTGGATCCACATTGCGTTCATCTATCAAAACATTGGTCTCAACAACATATCAATGACGTGGAGAATGAACATCGACATTTGTGTGCATTATACGATTGCAAGCCACATGTCGCGAAGACATTCCATCAGCATGAAGAACACGTAGTTTTTAACGATGTGTGGGATGTTGTCAAGGGATGATTTGGTGGTTTACGCCTGTTTTATGGTTGATTGGTGACAGCATTTCCCAACACGGCGGTTGTTGAAAGCAATTTTTCGATGGTGAAGTGGGAAAAGAACGAGACTCGCACAAGCCTAACCAGCGTGGCGCTTGCTGGTATAATGCAGATGAAACAATTCGAGCTCTTAAAGTCCCTGTTCAAACGTCCAAATGCTGAGGTCAAACATTGAAATTCACTTTTTGACTTTAAGATACACACAATGCCAATTTTGCCAAAATTACCCAAAGAAAGTTGTCAAAATTAAATTCATTTTGGCAAACTTGGCATATGCCACAAACTATGAGGCTTGCAGTACATACCATCCACAATTCAACTCGTAATTATATGACTCTACTTCAATGACTTATTCGAGTCAAACATGAATAATCTGGTTGATCTTGAGTGAAACTGGGGCCAACAACCACGTTGGGTACTGGACAACCACCTTGGAAAATATTGTAAAATTGTGTTGAATAAGCATTTTTTCTTCCTGTGTAAAAAAGAAAACCTTAATTAAACCTTTCTTAATTTAAAAATTAATTGTCAGAAATATATTTACACAAATTTAGGACCTCACATCTTAATTTTTTTCTACAATGGATGGGTCTTCCGATTCTCTATGGCTATCTAACTCGCTCTCTGATTTCCACTTTACCTAGAGAAATCTTATCTGACCCTTCCTCAAATATATGCCTCGAGAAGTGGGCTTTTGATTCTCGAAGGCTTGACTCAACCCTTAGCCTGTCGAGAAGAAGCGATGCACGCCATGCCGTCATTGGATGTTCTGTTCAGACAGCAGTAGTACAAGCTTCGTCCAATCGAAGACAGGACGAAACGAAATCGCATCAATGTAGCGCACAAACAGAAGCGTGTGCTCGAGTACAAATTGGACTGCGGGATTTTGGACCCAGGTACATTCTGCTGCATGCCAGTGCGAAGTCCGAAGCTTCCACCGAAGCACTTGCATCCACTTCGGTCGACGGCGGCGTCGTGCTGCATGCACGCTTCGGGGTTCCAACGACTCCTGCACGGTCTCGGCTTCTGCCGCCTCCGCTGCGAATGGGATCCGAGCTCATGACGAGTAACTCAGCACGCGAGAGCCCGAGTCAACTGATGGTGTAGGCATACAGTGTTTCGAGGTGGACAAACAGTCGGTTATTTCGCCTGCGTTGTCACTCTCATGTCTCGGATACCTCATCCCACCTTACCGATGCACAAACTGTTCCCAGAACGTGGCCTGGCAACTGCTGACCTTGACCTCCATGCAAATTGTCGTCAGCGTCTGTTCCACGAAGGAAAAGGACAGAGTAAAATAACAAAACTTGAAGAATAACCGAATGGCATACATTCTGCTAGCCCCACTACTATTACAACGTGAAAACGATGCTTTTAATGAACTAAAATAGCACATCATGCAAAGAAAATCATTGTTATAATGTCTTAATGTGTCTAGTTTAAGTGGCCTACAATAGCAGAATATACGAACAAGAGTTATGAATATAATCATCGCTAAGAACGATATTTGTTGCAGAAACTGATACTCCCTATATATATTCATATATATATACACGGAAATACCTTTGCAAAGATGCACGATAAGTTTACCAAATAGATGTTATCCAAGTTACATAAAATGGTTTTATGAGGGACATTCTAAGGTTCATGTGTGCAATCGCGTGGGGGAGGAAATCGCCATAACCATGACGTGATCCTGCTGATGATGAAAGTAATTCCTCACGAACTTCCTTCAGAGAATCCTTGCATCATCCATTTTGCAAATCCTCTCATCCGTGGACTCGGTCTTTCGACTCTGGACTAGTCGATGGACCAGTCGTGAGATATACTTGGAACCGAAGTCGCACGAAGATGCTCACCGAGAAAGATGCTACTCTGGAATTTTTGTAATCATAGTTCGAAGATGTACTGCCTCTTGGAAGATGGTTACAGGGAACTAAACCCTTCACGACATTATCATTACTTCTGCAAGCTTTGCTCACAACAAGAAGATTCAACTGCATTACCCTTTTCAATGATGGTCTGTTCTAATAAATTTCTTTACTTTCGGAAAGCATATGCTCTCTGACTTTTCAGATATATTCCAGAAAAAGTTGGCCAACGCTCAGTTCATACATATCTGTATATAAGCTCAGACCGACAAAGAACTATACCAAGCAAGAACCAATCTCAATGTAAGAGCTTGAGAGAAGTGCCTACCACTACGGCTGACTACCGTCTGTAGTATGAACATCTTGGCGACATACAGAGGATGCAGTGCTGCTGAATGGATCTGAATGAATTCAAGTGACTGGTTCGATATTATCGAACTCACAGATTCTTCTTCCCATTCGTAGTTTTACATTTAGTTCTACGAAAGAATTATAGATGAATCTCCAACAATACATTGGCAGCGGCTTTCTTGCTGATCCGCTTTAGATGCAAAGAACACCTAAATCTACCTCTTTAGAACATGACGGTCTGTCCGAGGATTTCTCAACCAAGCTCGAAGCTTTGGCAGCCCTGGACTTATCCTTTCTTGCTTTGTTCGATAACGATCTCTCTGGACCACTGGCAAAAGAGAAGACGATGTTCACCAGTTAGATGTTTACTTAAGAGTTTGCTATGCAACGTCAGCACAGTAGCTACAAGCTGTTGGTTCCCCAGTGACAAAAGCTCTCGCACGAAAATTTTGCGAACTCACCTTGTTAAAATAGTCACAGTAGGTTTGTGCTGTACTGCACCACAGCAAACTTTGTACTTCTTTTTGGAGCCGCACGGGCACGCTTTATTTCGAGACACGACCTGCCAAAAACGCGCAGTCATAAAGAGTAATTTTCTCAACGGCCTACCTCACAAGAGCGGAACATGCAATTAATCTTGGGGCCTCTAAGAATCATCAATTACCCTTGACAACATGAGGTAATCTATTCTCAGAGCCTGAAGACCAAGGAGGAGAAGATGCAAGACGGGTATGAAGAGATATAGAAGAAGGAATACTATTAGAGAGTGAACAGAGCTTCTCTTATTACTCCCCATAAGTAATTCACGCTAATACCCAGAACTGTTGGCTCAGAGACAAGGCCTTTCACCCCTAAGAATACGATCTTAGAACCATATCTCTTCGTTATGTCATTCACTAATTTAATCATTACCTCCTGAATCCGCAAAGCTGATTGTTCTGTATACAAAATGGACAAAGAATACTTCTCAATCAGACACTGTATCAAGTGTATATGCTTACTTGTCTTGCTGTACTTCCAGTCTCCACTTCCTTCGATTTGGAGAGCTTAGTTTTCGACTCGTCATCTGAAATACCCTCTAGTGCTTCTTCCAAAAGCAGGTTGTTCGTTTCAAGTTCATGTTCAAATTGGGGCAATTCTGTGCTCTTTGATCCTGCATTTAAAAAAGGAAGAAACACAGGCCAATAGTAAAATAAATATAACTTCCTGTACTTGTTCTATTATTGTGAACGAGAAATACAAGAAATAGTATAGGTGAGATGAAAAGAACAAACACGCGGCGTCCTCTGACCTTCACATTTATGTACGACTGCTGCTTACTTCAACCACTGAGGGTTAAATGAACACAATAAAAGATGAGCGCTGAGTATGGACTGAGGCTGACGGGCTGGACAATCATTTATACAAATATTCTTATTACATAAATCATATGTTACACGCATCTTTTGATAATGACGATAAAAGCCATGTACCTTCAAATTCCGCTTTTGAGAGGGTTTCCTCCATATCCCTTGCTGATTGATAAATTTCTTCGCTGAAGTTCTTTTCAGCAATAATATACTCTATAGCAGCTGAAGTGTCACCATGACAATCATCCAGCACCTGCCACCGGACCATCATTAATGTGCAATAAGTTTCTATTTTATGAAACAGCAGAATCTGATACACGATTTTGAATCTTGCTAGAGGACATCCGCACCTGTTTGACATAGGCTGAATCTGAACATCCAGATCCCGCCATGACAAGTTTCACTGTTGCAGGTGACTTTCCTTCAACTTTCGTGGGTTTTTTTCCTTGCTTTTTCCCATCCTTTGCGGGTGGGGCTTCATTGACCAACTTTGTAGCAGCCTGGAAACAAAAGATAATTGCATGATTTTAGATAGAATCATGCTTGTGCATACCGTCGTTTAGTTTTAAGAATGGTCAAACTACTGTCATTACATTCCAACCTTCCTAAGGTTTTTTCTCCACAGAATTCGATCTGCACATAAATAAACTAACAAGCATATCCCCATAACAGCCTATGCCTGATCAAAAAACGAGTAGGTATCAGCTGGCACACCTTGACACTGTCAAGCTTGGGAGGTCCTGTACCATCATCATCAACCGGACGGACGCTGTTGTAATGCTCCTCTCCATGATATGATCTGCCAGTCATGCCCCATCATTCTGGCGTACGCTGAAGTCAATGAAATGCAGCCCATTCTCGACGTTGCAAGATAATGTAGCGATAAATCAAGTAAACATAGGAGATGAAAGATGCGTGGTGGGAGGCTGCATACATTAATTCTCTCAACTCTGAGTAAGATAACAAGTTTGTGGCAAGTGTGAAGTGGCTGAAATCTTACATATGAGCCGTATGATTGACAATGCACCAAACTAATCAATTTTCTCATAAACAATAACAGTGTAAGCTACAATCCAACGACTAACCAATAAAAATTTCCCGTAGGTTCCCGACGATGGTGACAGAGGTCCTGGGTCTGTCGGATCCGGGTAGACAATTGGGCTGATAAAGATTGATGTGTAATATCCACTTATCTTGCATATCATCAACCCAGTGGACTCGGAACTGTCTCGGCGGACATAAGTTGATGTGAAGAAGAAGAAGAAGAAGATGTGGTGTATTAGCTCGCAAGCCAAAGATAAACTATTTCTATGGAAAACCGACCACTGGGTTGAATTACAAAGCACTATTCATAAGTTCAAATTAGAATCAACATAATCATCACGGGTCCCTCAACGACTTGGAATCATGTCATGAGTTGAAAGATAAGAGCACATTTGAACTTTGCAGTTAGAGACAGGCGAGATCAAGTATTGCGTGCTTTAATATGTAAATTGTTCTTCACAATCAGATATACTAATAAGCATGTATCTGTATTATCTGAAGAGCCTAGGCCATCTTCAAAATCGAACAGGCAGATAGCAAGTCACGCTTGGTAGCAAAAGGAAACGTCCAACTTGGATGGGAGGACCAAAAGGAACATGCATTGTGGAATGCATGTGTCGAAATGAATGTTGAATCCACATGGAAACATTACTAGTGGTAAAAGCTTATTTGGAGAAACATTGTACATACATTCAGGCAGCCGCAAAGCAGCGGAAGATGGTAAACACCAATAATGGAAACAAAAAAGTGGATGATGTTACCGAAAAGGTAACCAAAGAAGGAGGTGCTAGCTTGGACTCTTTTCATGCTCGATGGATGTACGGAGGCTGTAATCAGCTTAGAAGAAGGGCTTGCATCAGAATGTCCCAGCTTTCCCAAGATCTAGTCAGCCCCTTGAGGTCCTCTTGTACATTAGCCTGAAATCATCCCAAGGTTCAATTGCTGCTTTTCGCGCTAAAATACGATCGGATTAATAAGGAACGAGTATCTTACCTAATTTGCACAAATACTAAGAGAAGAAGAATAAGATTTTGTGCTAGCTTTGAAAACAGTTTCAAGTAACAACGTACATCACACAAACAGCAAGATAGCTACCAACGATAAAAAAAACAAGTCAAGAGATGAAGTTGAATGATCCCTGGAAATGAAGTTAAGTCTACCATACATGACACGTTATTTCAAGAAGACGCGAGTTACAACAAGAGTATTTCAAGATGACATATTTAGTCTCACTAGATATATGTAGAAAATGCACGGAAATGCGAAACAAGAAAGAAAAGTGCACAAGGTGTTGGTCATAATGCAAAGTCTGTCTTCTTCACGTTGGTCCTAATTGTCTGGTAGTTCTCTAAACAGCCACCTCATTAATGAAACTTGTACAAGCTATTGAATCCATTAGATTTCCCATTAACTTCTGGAGGGAAGTAGATACATTTCTTTACCCTTCCTTTGTCTGTTCTTTAGAGAAAATTATAGAATGTGAATCCATAGATTGTGCAGAGTCGAGACCAATCCTCAAATTAAAGTTGAAGAATACATCAAAAGTCTAACTTTTCAGATTGATACGGATCCAAATCTACGTCTCATTCACGAGAATCTCAATTCTCTGTAGGAAAGAGACTTATTAAAATTTTCATATTAAAATTGAAAGTACACGGATTCTTTCGAGATGCAAGTACACCCCTACTATAAGACATGAAAGAATGAGATAAAATTAGGTGTCGAGATTTCATAATAGAATTGTGTTTATCCAACTCATCACCAGTGCATCTTCTGAATGCCTCAAAGACTGATATACTATCTTGTATTAGCTCCTACATGTATGATTTAGGCTGGAGATTACGGTATGTAGTATGAACGTTATAACTTCTCTGTATACTTTAATACAGAGAATAAATAGCAATTCTACTCAAATCATGCTAGTAACAGGATCAATGAGAGTCAACGACGGGTTACTGCCTAAAATTACAAGCAGGTGCTCTCGCTGGAGCCTAAAGCTGATAATCAGACTTGCCAAGCAGAGTGCATGATTCTCTTCCATGCTTCTCACAGAGTCAGTATCTAAGAGCTTTCCGGTTCTTTGTTCGACCACATCCCCTCTTAAATGAGAATCATTAACCCACTAGTAAAAATTAGATATATTTACAATTATGTACAATACTATTCAAGATTCGAAAGCGTAGTGACGAATTCTTGTCAAGAATCTACTATGCATGTTATCTAGACAGTATGGGTTTCTACTCACAATTCCTAAGGTGCAATGTTAAGCCTTGGTTTGTTACAAATGTATTCATACAACATACATGTAATGTTGGCAGCTTCAACAGGTATCGGCTTAACGAGGATATTCACTACATTTTACATAAATTCCTTCAGTAAAATATAGAACATCAATAGTTTATTAAAATTCAAGGCATCACAGCAAATCTACTTGACAGTTGGATCTTTCAACTTAAAAACATGTTTGTATCTTTCGACCTTCAGCATTATTCACTTACGTTCTCATGCACGAAAGTTGAATTTAGTATTATATATTAAGTGCAATATGAATACTATCCACTGTGGAAAATATTTAGTTATGGGGCTGAATTACTAGAACCACGAAACCTCATAACAAGTCTCACATTGGAATTAACATGGGTATGGAATTGGAATCGGAGGTGAATACGTCAAATTTTTTAATCACATAATCTATAAAGGATAAGAAGAATTAATTTCTATATCACAAAATGATCCTTGTCGTGTCAAAGACATATAAAGCCTTGACAAAGAGTTTCTCGTCTAATGGCTATATAACATCTTCTTTTACCCTGGGCGAAATTCCGTTCATGTATCGACAAAAAAAGCAAAAGAATTTATTCTTACAAAGACAAGTGGTTGAAAACACACCGCAGACAGCACCAATTCAAGTACAGACTGGGTGAGCACACTACTGCTAATTTGAGTGATACAACTTACAGTTGGAGTATTGGGGTGCCGGGGTTCTGAAAGTTAAAAATTTGCCAACGTGGAAACAATATCTGGTAAAAAAAGAAAAGAATTAGATATGAGGAAGTGACCAGCAAAATTCATACAAGGCAAATTTGAATACTCACTATGTCCGAAGCAGCAAATAAAGAAATGTTATTTAGTGATGGCTAATGACTGCAGGATTAAGTCTATAAAAAAATATGGGAGGCTTACAAAGAGAGTGTCACGTTATGTGAGGTCACGTAAGGTTTTCTAGGCTTTATGAGTCATGTAAACCCTATAAAGCTTTACATGACTCCACGCACCCAAACACTCTGTTTTAAGCCTCTCATGTTTTTAGACTAATCCCAAGCCGTTATAATCCATCACTAAATCACAGAACTTCATTTTCTGCTTCAAAGTCTCAGCAATCCTAGCAAATGTCAAACCTAATCAGTTCATTGCACATGCATGATACAAAACTACGTAGCTTGCATGTGAATGTAAAGATATGAGACAAAATATTTTTCCGACCCTGCTTTAATTTTGACACATAGAACGACCTAGTCATACACTTTCATAAGTATTGATATGACTGATTTGACAATAATACACTTGGGAGCAGTTTCGAGGTTTGACAACAATCAAATATCTCCCTGTCATTCGAGTTAAGGTTCATAATATATAATTCAATCGTCTTCATATTTTCTTCCAAATAAGTCCAGGTCCAGATCAGTGACATTTACCCTGTGTATGCATATATTGCATCTTGTTGCTAGTGAAGTTGCCTGAAGTTCCATATGACCGGCCCAAGTTCCATCCTGCCTCATGTTTTTACAATATTCATCGAATGGCGTTTCCTCCTCTAGAAATGGCTCAAAGTCCGGTCTATGTTCCTACAATAAACATCTCGAGTTCATGCTGGCGCCACTTCAAATATACACATCAAGCAGAAACGACGTAGATACTATACATATTCCCTTTTGAAACTACATGCGAGTACTCAAAAGTAAGGAAGTGATGAGTTCCTTACTTTCGTAGAATTTGTATGAATACAACTTCCATTAACGCAGAACAAAATTGTAACTCGTCAACAACACTGTCAGAACTCATGTAGAACTTTTCTATCAATATTTATCAGCCTAAGAATCTCAAGGCATTACCTCTAGATAATCCACTACCATTCGTCGGTATTTGGGATGCTCCTCTTCATTTCCATCGAGTTGATCGGCTACTGATCTGTGCCGCACGAAAAAATTCACGACAACCATAATACTTATTTTATGCATTCCTATCTTCAGCATGATTTAGTACGAAACCGAAAAAAATTGTGGAACAATAATAATTTTCAACTGCTTTACTGTCACATCCTGCAGTGCATTATTGATTCATGATCAACAATTATTAAAAAAAACCTTCTCCAATTCCATTTTCTTTTTTGGATTGAAATATTAAATTCATGTCAATTGTAGCACAAACTTTATATTTATTCGAATTGAAAGGAATCTTAAGAGAAACAAATATCTTCCTGCACCTCTGCCATTTTGGGCTGGGTGGAATGTAATAGATACTGGTAAAATGCAAGGGTAAGAAACATGAAACATGAACAAACAGAGGTCTGGAAATAAAAGGCATATACACAGCTGCCACATGTACCTGAAAAAGCAATTTCCGTCACCAGTCATATTCACAACTTTGAGACCTAAGGGAGCAAGTTGATCATTCATCTTTCCATTCTCTCCTCCTCGAGGTTTGGTCTGCTTCACACGGATTCAACATCAAGGGAGTAATCGTTATAAATCTAAATGCTGCCAAGTGACGATGCTCATAAGTAAGCAGCTTCTGCCTGGAAAACCCTTGACAATCTTGTTGAGGTCACAAGACGATACAACAGCTCTACGCTGCTAGTGTTGAGAGAATTGACAAACAACAGCTCCATAATGGAGATTAAATGCGAGGCAAATTATAGGAGAAACAAACCTTCGTGTTGTTGGCTTTCGCCTTTCGAGTCTTAGGTGGCGCCATGGTAGGTTGACTGAAGGCCGATGGAATTTCAAAACTTCAATTGCTTCAGAAAAGCACAACCCATGCACTTCTGCACGAAAATCGGAGTCATGGGCATTCATTCAATTCGCGCTGACTGCAGCACTGTTTTCGACGAAAGGATCTTCTCTGAACATTCTATGAATATAGATAACAGAAGGAGGAGTGGAGAAGCCAAACGGCAGAACACTCTCAGATTCCGGAGCGAAAACGTGAAAATCCGCACCTTCTCTGCTGTCGTACGTGTCATCACCTTCGTGCACAAATTTGAAGACATTCACTCACGGATCTATCTACCACACTCCTCACAACTGTAAGCATGTGTCCACAAGAAATTTCAGTCCTACTACTACATTGACATTTGCTGAATTGCAGGCTCTTCAATCAGATCCGATCACGTCCGGTCGAAAGCAATTCACGGATCTGGGGTTTGAGTCACACCTCCTGCCACTCTGAACGTCAACTGATGTTCCCGCATGGACCTAATTCGTCTCAGGGTTGAGGGTTTTTCATAAAATCATAATTGTGTTGAGAATTATTCGCTTAACAATCAAGCAAATCTTTCCAAATCAATTCCACCGAACTTTCCTGAAGGACATTGTGGTCGCGGAATCTCTCTTTATACAGACTTGAGCGATTTGGTTCGTTTTCTTGTTCTTTACTTTCTCTTTCTGTATAAATATGCCTTGTACTCTTTAATGTTTCGAATCTAATGTACAATATAGGGAGTGCCTAGTTATCATTGGTCGATGCAGTGTTATAGGTTTGAGTGAAGCAACTATTTCTTAAATAGGGTCTTTGACCAAAGAATAACCTATAGTAGTATGAGCACTAATTAACTTAGTGATAACTAGCCACTCCCACATTATATTGTAAAGTCAAACATTAAATTGATGTGATCTAATTGCTACATATTTTTACTTCACTCTACTTTTCTGTCTATTTTTCTCCTACAAACAAAATTTTCACTTGAAATTTAATACTAAAGTACTCAGTTGACCTTATTCAAGTTCTAGTTGTATGATAGAGCTCAATTTGTGCTCAAGTTGGATAAAATTGTAATAGATGGCCGCTGCAAAATAAGGTGAAACTGAAGTTCCACCTTTTTTTGTAGCGGCACTTAAGTTACCTCTCTCTTCAAGGTTTTTCCACCTGCACACAATTCTTAAGCATTTGTATACTACAAAATTCAAAACTTGATACTTCATTTCCATATATTTTCTGTACTCAAATGAGGAGTGAAAAAAACATAAACACTAAGTTAGTTACACTTGCTTAGTGTTTATAATGGATTGATTGTATTTACACTGATAGTGGTATTTATAAAAAAAATCAGTGGCATAGCAGAATCTTTATCAAAACATTCAAAGAATTAAAAGTAAAACTAAAGGAAAAGAGATTGAATCAATGAGATTACATTACTAAAGAACAATTCCAGGATTTTCAAGTACATATGAGCTATGCATACAATCTCTTATAGATGTATTCAAAGTTAATATAACGTAGAATTTTGATTTATTATCACTCAATTCAAGAATCATATATTGATTTTTATCTTTTGACAATTTTAAAAAAACTTCTAGAATTATAACTCACGTGAATATAATTTCAACCATTTTTCTCATAAACATATACTTTCAAATTGTGAAGATTAGTTAAGAATCCATAAAAATCATTTAAAATGAATATCTTATATACTAATCATTTTTTATTACATCATCATACATTATTGAATAAAGAAATGAATACTAGTTATTATTGTTTCAAACACATGACAATATATATAATTTTCTACAAATGGGATAATTTTTTTGTAGTCGTACATCATCAATTCACTCTTACTATGGAAAAATTTTCATTCATTGGAATATTTTTCAACTCTTTGTATAAAATTGCTATCAATCAAATACTAATACTTTAGATAATTCACTAATCCTAATTCTAAATTCTTCTGATACATATGATATTGCATCTCATCCTTAACAAAAAATATTTTGATATGAATTTACATATTTGAAAATATTTAAAAAAATTATTTTCTTTTAATATCAATATATTTGTATCATCAGTTTTAGATTCAATAGCACAATATTTGAAGATTGATAGTGATATATGAAATATTTTCATATTTCATAATTATGTAAGTTTCAACCACTCTAATTTCATGAAATCTTGATAGATTTGTCTACAATCCATCTTCACCTTTTGTTATTTTCCAGTTCCATTAATTAATTAAATCTTACTCTTGTTGTTTAAAATTTTATTTCACTTTTATAATAATTTTTCTTCATATCATTGATATCACAATGATCAATATGTTTTACAATAATTTAAGTAAATATATTTATTAATTCTTGTTAATATTGACTAAAAATCCTAAAATTCATAAATCTTTTCCAGGAATCTGGTTTAATTGAAGAAAACATACATTTTAACATCACAATACAAGTGATAAACATGTTGAGTTTAACTTCAATTAATGAGTAGCCTTGGATATTAGCTATAAATAGCTAGGATGTTCGGCTAGCCTAGGATTAAAGTACCTCGGCTTCTGTAATGTACATTAAGTCTTTCTTGACAAACTTGAATAAGAGATTCATGTGTGCGTTTCCCACTGTGAGTAGACCTCTTGAGATTGAATCACGTTATACGATGATATCTCGTGTTGATTATTGGATTGAGTGTTTTATCATTGTATTTTTCCTATTCTATTTTTGCCAAATATTTGTAAACTGCAATCTTTCACATAATGTGGATAATAAACTTATCTTTTTCAGCTTAGTTTACAAATATTTTGTATGTTTGGCGTTTAAGAATTATCTCAAAAATCTCTAATTATCTATCTATTTGAGATTCAATTCAAAATTGTATTAACACTATGATAGCAATTTAAAAAATAAAAAAATAATAATTTATAATGTAATAAATTATACACTAATATTTTATATGATAAACTATGGTATCAACATATAAAAAACTATCTCAAAAATCTCTAATTAATTATTTATTTGTGATTTAGTTGAAATTGTGTTAAAACTATGATAGCAATTTGAAAAAATGTTTAAAATTTTTGTACTCTTGACCCCGAAGGTAGTGACAGTAACAAGTATACTAGTTAGAACACACGAGAATTATTCACACAGGCAGTGCAAGAATGTAGTCAAGTACTCAAACACTCATATACGTGGGTCACGCTTCTCCTGGACTGCAACCTCCGGGCTGACTCTCACTCAGGTTTACCTCTGATGGCTTTGTGGTAGCGCATCATGGTTCTAGAAGACTAAGATTCATACTCTCACTCATGTCCCAAACACCTTCTCTTACAAACTCTCATGTATCACTCCAACTCACACACAACTCTCCTCACATCACCCTCTTCACATAAATGCAAACACACGTCGATACTCCAAGATACTCAAAAACTTCACTCCTTCATTACTGAAACAAGTCCTCACACATGACTCTCCAAACTTGCTTGAGAGGTGCTACTCTACCTCTCTATTTATACTACTTGAGAAGTTACCATAGTAACATGTGGTAATTTCTCCTAACTTACTTTTACCTAGGTAAGTTTGACTAACCTTCTCTACGTGGCAACATGCCATTGGCCTACCTAAACCTTCTAGAAGCTTCCGGAATCCAAGGTTGAGGTGGCGACATGCCATTGGAAGCTTTTAAACTTCTACAAGCTTCCTAGCCACTAAGTCAACATTAGACTTAGTCTAGCCAATCATCTTTCATACATTTAGTCAAACCAATCAAATCCAAGCTTCTAGTCAAATATCTAATCCCTTGGAATCTAGAACTTTTGTATAAGACAAAATAGAAGTGCTCACTCCTTGTAAAAGACAAAATAGAAGTGCTCACTCCATTCTTCTAGAACTCCGCTAATTACTCCGCCAACTATAGACATTGTAGCTAAACTTAGTCATGACTAGATAAACTTAGTTATAACTAACTAGTTTAGTCATAACTAGCTAGTCTTAGCTATGCCTTGGCTAATCATCCTTATTCCCTTGACCACTTTTAAGACTTAGTACATATGTGCAACACCCAGTCTTACATTTACCCCCGGACCAAGATTTCACTACGCCCTCGGAGTGAAAGAATCTGATCTTCGATGGAATAACTTCAACTTGTCGTGGTTGACTCGATCGAAGTGACGTCCTCCTAACTCCTTGATGTCATAAGTGAAATTTCCCCACACCTTCTCAACTATGAAAGGTCCAAAATACTTAGGAAGAAACTTTTTCCTAGCTCTCTTGTATCTAATTGCATCAAAGAGCATCACCCAATCACCTTCCTTGAACGGTTTCAAGTTCTGGTTTCCACTTCGTTTGTCGTGATACTTCTTCTGCAACTGTTGAGCCCGCTCCACTCGTACCATGGCTAGTGCTCGAGCTTCCTCCAACTCCATCAATTGTTGTTGGCGAGACTTGATGGCTTCTGCTCCATTTGATTTCTTCAACCTTTGCTGGATTGTTGTGAATGTTGTCAAGTCAAACTGTATGGGAAGTTTTGACTCAACTCCATACACCATCCGAAAAGGTGAGTATCCAGTAGATGTCTTCCATGTTGTGCGATACTCCCATAAGATAGCATGGAGCCTCTTGTCCCAATTGTGTTTACTCCCGTCCATGTCTGCATCCTTGGCCAACATCATACACAAAGTGTAGTTGGTCCGCTCCGCCAACCCATTAGCGTTAGGTTTGTAGGAAGTGGTCACTCGAGCCTTGATGGAAAAGTGCTCCAACATGGCTTGAATCATACCTTCCACAAATTCTCCTCCTCTATCTGATACTAACTCCAATGGACAACCAAATCGAGTAATGATTCTCTCATATAAAAATCTACCAACCTCCTTCTCATTAGTAGATTTAAGTGGTCTTGCCTCTACCCACTTCGTAAGATAATCTGTAGCTATCACAATGAACTTATTCCCTCGAGGAGTAAGATTCAAAGGACCTACAAAATCTATTCCCCACTTTTCAAAAGGACCTAACACTGGTACAGAAATCATAGGAGGGGTTTTCATGGACTTTTTAGCAAAAGCTTGACACACATCACAACTTTTGCAATATTCCACACAATCCTTAAAAATACCCTTCCAATGATAACCAGCATCAAGAATTTTGAAGGCAGTTACCTTCCCCGCAAAATGTCCTCCACATACTGCACCATCATGAAACTCCTTCATGAGTTGTAGTGCCTCTCCTCTCCCAACCGCCCTTCGTAGAAGTCCGTCAGCTCCTTGATGAAAAAGTACCTTCTCCATGATCATATAAGGTTGACATCTCTTCACTAATGCATTTTTCTCCCTTTGATGCATTCCTTGAGGAAACTCTCCTCTAGAGATGAAATCCCAAATTTCCTTGTACTCCTCCGGTACTGTTGTCACCGTGTCCATGACTAGCAAGTCCTCATCCGGAAAGGTGTCATCTACTGACTGATCTCCTCCATCATCATATGCTCTCGACATCAAATCCGCATTAGCATGCTTCTTTCCAGGTCTATCCTCAATGGTATAATCAAACTCTGCTAGTAGTAGCTTCCATCTAGCTATCCTCCCTTCAGCATTAGGCTTGTTGAAAATGTATTTCAAAGCCTTATGATCAGTCACTATAGTGAATCTCCCACCCAACAAATAATGT